TATATATATATATATATATAAGTCACGCTTGAAGTTTAAGAAGCTCAGCTCTAGTCCTAATTAAGCGCTAAGCAGTAAATCGAACTGCGTACATTGCCATCCAAACCAGTCCAAGGATGTCTGCGAGATATCTGGAACTGCGTTACCATTCTGTGCTACTGAGGCTAGGAGACTTTGACCTTGTGAGCGAGTATTGCCTGTTATTCAGGATGATGTTCACTGTAAGAATGGTCGCCAACATTTTTCATCCTAGCCTTTATTGATTGCGCATTACGGAAATTTCAGTGTACGCCACCCACGATCGTTTATCAAATACAAACGTAATTATCACATTTATCGTCGGTTCATTTTAAGCTACAGTGGCCTTAAGTAGAGACCCAATTTTCAAATTGATCACCTATATAGCTATCCAAGTTGAGACAAACTGGAATCACCAGAAGTTCCTCATTCAAAATTTTACTCCGTCTAAGAGTAAAGAAGTTTTAGGGGAATCGGTATGTCCATGATACTTCTTGAGCCATTCAGTTCAATGTTACAAAGATGGTAGTCGACAGTTTTGAACAAGCATCCACCTTGTTCTGAGAGATTAATTTGGCGCTCGACAGATACTGCTATTGAAACCGACTTGGACATATCAGCCACAACCTCCTGAACATTTGCTAATATCAGACGATAAACAGTGGGCCAAATAAATTACATGGGTCGCAGTTATAATAAGAAACATTTCCTCGCTACTGAAAACGTTCTGAAGAAAAATTTTAGTAGACCTAGATAGAAAATTTAAACATGCAGTAGATTTACTGAGCTCGACCAAATTCTAGTGGCTTGGATAAAGCACTCTTCAATGACATGGAAGCGATTCGAGCTATATACAGTATCACCACCAAAATCAAATACAGGCATATTGGACTGATTTGTTTATCGTGCGGGAACCGCAAAGAGTCATGAAGCCCCAAAAATATTAGTGAGCTGCATGACAGGTTAACTTTCCTACAAATCTTCTCATTTGGGGAGGCCGACGCAACGATATGAACTTTCCTAATTACTGCAAACAGTGTGAAACACTAGCAACTTTCCGTAGCATTTCAAGGAAGAAATTTATTTGTGTGAGGTAAAAGTGGCCGATAGAATACATACAGCTATCGCAAAATGGCCTCGTTGGAACAGTAGATTAGATAATGGCTCGCATCTTACCTAGTCTGCCAGTCGCTGATATCATGCGAGGAAAGGTCCTTGAAAAACAGTATATATTTCAAAACAATCGAAATTCACTTTTCGTCCTCTTCGCGGCGGGATAAAAAACAAAAACTTAAACTGGATAAACCGTCCTTAGGATTAATTGTGGGCTTCGTAGCTCGATTAGGCTGTTCAATCTCAATAAAACATCTCAACCTGGGACAGACGCCAAACTCGAAATTGGTACAAGATTTAAGCAGGGTTATATCATTGCCCTGGTCGCGCTCAACTTCTATTTAGTGACCGTTTGCACAGAGGCCTTTTAGAAGTGAGGTGTTATACCGACGCAGACCGGGGCATTTCCTATCCGATCCAGTTTGCAGATGACCATCCGTATTTATTCATCTCGAGGCGGAACTACAATGGCCCAGTTCAGCCTTGCGTTTGTCCCTAACTTGATTTAACTTAACATATTTCTTTTCCGTAATGTTTGTCGTATACTAGCCCAGATAAGAAACCAAACGTGAAGAATTAGCCATCCAAACTAATGGTTGTAATAGAGCTTCGGTCATACTGATGACACTGTCTGCAAATCTAACAAGTAGTGTGATTTGGAGGCGTAGACTCTGAAGGCAAGCCAGCATTCGGTCACTTGGGTGACCATGTCCAGACCAGTCACAACTTTTATATGGTCTTATATTACTTTGGACTGGCATGCTATATACATCATTGAACCGCAGTGAGATTCAAACACTAAAAAGAGAACATTTCCAATTGTTTGACCGATTTCACTTGCAGCGCTTACCAAGGGCCGTTCAGAGCCACAGAACGGAGCAAATCTCGTTCGCCGGACTTTTTCGGATAATGAATACCATCTACTGCCAATACAACTTGATCCCTTACGTCACCTGAGAACGTTGACCGAAATTAGTGTTACAAAACAACATAGCTATAGTCGGTTAATTGAAATAGCTCGTAGTTCGCCTAGGGGGACTTCCTTCATATAAGCTTGGAATTTTTTATTTCCACTGAAAGTCATGGGAGGACGTGTTTCTCGACGGCTAGTTCCATGGCTAAGTGTATTTTTGAGCAATGCGGGTCTCAGCCCTTCAAGGCATGTGGGGCAATTAGGAAGAGCCCTGTCTCCTTGCTGTAGCCCTGACTATGAGTTTTAGCAATAAGCATCTGCAGAACGAAACCATCACTAACTATTTGACAAAGTGAATGCTCATTGCCATTTCGACTCTGAGCTAGTGGGTAGCATCCGTTTACAGTTCCACCGTGCCGCAATGGAAAAGTGCCTAAGAGACTTGGCATATGACGCGTCATAAAACTATTTTAAAGAATAACTGGTTCCAGTACTCATTGTTGTGGCGTCATGTTTAATGCGACTGATGGTTTGCATGTTTGCCTGCAAATATTCCTCCTTTGAGTCTGCATGATATCGGAGGCATCAGGGAAATATTACATTCCACTTCTCGTAATCCAGGTTTGGATTCCCCACATAACGTAGATGTCCAGTGGTTCCACCACTGTTGACCAGCAAATCTAGTTCAAACGCCTTCCGTTCATTTTCAGGCTAGTAACCGACAACAGATTTATTTCCAAAATAGATTAACTAATATTCCACATTCTTTCTTTTTCATATGGTTTGTTTACGCAATCTCAGCCAGGCTTTTCAAAAGCAATAATTTTACCCGAAACTGAATATGTTCTTCGAACCCGAAAAGGATCAACAAGCTGCGCCATGTTGTAGCGTAGGGCTCCCACTGGTCAACATTCAAAGCTACAACCTTGAGATGCCATTACCCTATAACAAGTCAGCAGCTTCTGCAGTACACTATCCGACAATTTGTAGTGTTGGGCTTCCTTCAGCGAGACCCAACTTATATTGATGGTCTTTTCTCCATCTGCAAGAGGAGTCTGGTTTTTCCGATGTCATAATACATCCCCATTTCACATGAATTAGACTAGTGATGATGAGTATGATTCCACCCAAAATCACCCACAACAACTATACACATTTGAAACGTTATAGATGCAAAACCCAAATTTCAGGGACTTACGAATGACGTGATCTCTCGAATGAGTGGTGTTAATCACCTCCGCAATGCAAACCACAGTTACAGTTCAGTTTGAATTTTCTGGTGGCCTTCACTAAAATTCGAGTAAAATTCTGATGACCACTTAAAGAGAAAGGTGTGTGCATGGACCTGAGAGCATTTGCACTGCTAAGCAACTATTGTAATATGATGTATAATTTTACATTAGGCAAGGGGATGACCATGTTAATAAATCATTAGGTTTTATTCCTACTAATTTGCTAGTTACTGCTGCTGGAATTGTGTAAAATAGTCAGTTTCACCTAAAAACAGCCGGACCATTGTGCGTTTAATTGATCGTCTGCTACCAGAGACCACTAGCAAGACAAGATTTCTATCAGGAAGCAGAAGAATTGTCTAGGAAACCGTCGTGTTCCCGAAAATCCTATTCTAGCGCTTCCAAGATTAAACAACGTGTTTCAGCCTCAATGCTACTTTCGCGCGTGAAAAATAAAGGTAAAATTTTGTCATACTTGATTAGCTTGAAGTCGATAATGTCCCGATTTAACCGGGATCAGAAGATCGGTTCACATGAGCAACGTTCGACTAAGCTTTCACAAAATCAGTTCATTCATCACCACTACAGATGTCTTTCACGAGCAATCCACATCATTCCGTCACATCCCCGGTCATCTCGGTGCAAAAGACATCAGGCACAAAGAGATTCTTATCAGTAATTTCACAAACAGCTCCCCATTTGACGGGACAAGATTTGGACCGGCCAAGTCCGTCAAATGCAGTCTCACAGATCAGTTTGCGATCGTGCGTTCGAGGCCGGGCGTCTTCAGGCGACCAGCTCCGTAGAGATGGCAACAGGCAACCAGAGACGTTGCCAACACAAGATGTCAGCAGGGCCCCTACAGACAGCCTTGCTGAATTCATCAACTCCGAGAGGGCTTGTCAATGGGATGATCAAAGCTCTACAGACATTTTCAAGCCCGTTTCTTCCCGTCGCTCGCCTGTCTCGACGGGCAGTTTAAGGAAACCAAGCCGCAGTAAGTTACAAACATACGTATCGTATCGTCGGTTTAAAAGTCCTTTATTTCACAACCACAGATGTTCAAAACTGAGGTTTTGTGAAAAATACATTATGTTCAGGTTAATTGAATAAAGCCGATTCATTAGAAAATGGAATGCGTGAATGCAAACTATTGTAGTGCACTGGATTTAGGTGTTTGACCTTGTTGGGACGACTGTACATAAGATTTTGCTCAACTACAGTAAAACATTTCTTTAGAGGTACCTTCCGGCAGTTTTTTTTCAAGTTTTCACCGAAAAAAAATTAACCACTTCCATTTCACCCGTTATTCTAATGACTGAATCAAGGGAGGTATATTTGGATTACGATATAATAGTGCCCCAATTTCCACAGGTGTGTAGACTAATTTATTTCGCTTTTTATTCTATCGGTAAGAAGACTTTCTTTTAGCCACCTGTGACCTAATTCGATTATCTTTATCACTGAGCAATGCTCAGGATGTCTTATGAGCACAGACACTGATTTTTAGGATAGGCTTTTTTCAGATGTTGGTAGTCATTACACTAAGTTTCACACAGTTCTGAAAGACTTCCGAATTTTCTAATATAGTACCACTCTCTCCGCGTATGCCCACGATATACTAGATGTGTTTTCACCATACGCTCTTTTTTACGTACACACCAGGTTCCAAATAGTGCTAAGCTTTAAATAAAGGTTACTGAACATCGCACTTAATCACCCACCCAATATAAGTCTATGAAATAATGCTGCGATAATCAAGGTGAATCATGTTGAATCATTTTAATTTCGTGACCTATTCATTAGGTTTGAGATGTGGAATAGAGTGCTGCTAGTAAGTGGAACACCACAAACATAGTAAACAACGGGGAGAAAAGGTTACCTACGCCGCAGATCGTGGTCATTTTTTAAAAAGCAAATCCACGGAATCTATCTCAGAGCATGGGACTTTGGGGCTCATCTCTAACTTAAGCACACTTATTGACTTTTTAACTGCGTTATCAACGCTGCAAACAGGGTCTTGTGCATTCTTATGTCACCATCTTCATTCTCCCGAACAACTGGCAGCATCATTACATGTATAATCATGCAACATTACGAATATTCGCTGATGTAGGAGTAGTGAAATTCAATAGGTGCACCGAAAAGATACATTGCGCACATAAAGTGGAGCTATTTTTTAGGGAAGTGTGGTACATGTACAGAGCAATAGAATTAGGTTGAATTTTGTTGTCCACATTACATCTTGGACCTTGTGCATTGGAAAAGATTAGGAGTTGCAGAATGCGTAATATCAGAAGCCAGTATTGGAACCATTGGCACATCACAAACTCTGGCCACAACCAGTTTGCAAATAAGGCACCTCGTAAGAAGGACAGATGTCATTTTTAACAGAATGCGGAATGGTGACTTGCTGTTAGTCCATAAGATGGTTTGTTTCATGCCGCACCTTTAATACTTTTCAGTAGCCATGAACTATCAACCGGAACTTACCTAAGTGAAATTTCCTACAGGTGAAAATACATCAACGCAAGGAGAATGGGCTTACTTTTTTTACCTGGAACATCAGAAGTGACTGATATACGAGTCCGTCACTAACGATGTCACTAATTTGAATTGAAATGTACTTCCGCAATGCATGACAAATCAGAAGAGAAAAATCTGAATGACAGTCCGTTTCGCAAGTTTACACGTGTTTGAAGTCTTCACATAATTTGCATATTTTGATACCTTTAAGCCGTTGGACTCCATGGACTTTGAGTTCTAGATAATCTCTCCACATGGGAGTGCTAAGCCAGTGGTCTTCGGACTTTACTCCCTACGCGTCTTGTATGTGATACATAAGACTGAATTTAATCGGTCGTTGTTTGTTCATTGGAAAATCTCGTGAATGTTGCATCTGCACGCATCAAAAATTCAATGGACTCAGCTTGTAAGGAAATGCTTGATCTGATCTAGCGAAATTTGGCCAAGTTCATGAAAAGCGTGACGCATAAATTCCACTTCACATATTGGTAGTTCAGATAGCGTAGATGGTCGCTGGCTTGTTCACTGGGCTTGGCAATTTGATTGCATACGTTTCATCACCAATCGTAGTGATCAGTGCGTTATTGGGGAGCGTAGTGGTGCGTAGCGGTGGGTTAGACTAACCCACATTTGAAAATGAAATTTCATCCTGTATGTGAATTCACACTCAGACAAGATGCGGCGCCACTCAATTTTCAATTACTGAATTCAATTCACGTGATCATATGATGCCTGACTCCCAGAGTAATGACTTCTCTGACGAAATTTTAACCAAGAGAGTTAATCATTATTCCTTTGAACAGTTTGTTGTAGCATGAGGAAACTTGGAGGTTGCAACCAACATATCGTCCAGCAAGCGAAACCACTCCGTGTTGAAGAAAAAACAGAAAAGCAGTCTGCAGCATTTAGACGGGATGTGTCAGTTGATCACATCGCTGATCAGCTGCTCTTGGCTGAATATTTTATTCTTCTTGCCCTCGGGACCAAAGAGCTCGAACTGGCTTAGCCCTCAGTCAGCGGTGTTTTTTTTCAGGATAACAACGGCTGGAGTGTACCCCCAGCTGAATAATATGGACCGTGATATGCATTATCTCACTTGTTGGCTGGGGTGCCATTCAAATGCTCAGTTTCGTTCTGGATAAAAAATGTCAACTTGTATGGGGTTTTTCATTCGAATCCACTCTGCCCTAACATTAGGCTTAAAAAATCACACTGTTTCCTCTTTTGTGCCTAATTTTCGAACATAAAAGTTCTGTGCTGTGGGTCCATATCATTTCCCTTCGTTTTGCACTGTCTTGGGGCGTTATGTCACCGTTATTTTGCGACACAGCAAAACCTGCTACTGTTGTTTTATCTTCTAGTTTTATCTAGTTGGGACAAATTGGGAATGACTTGACTGAAATTGGTTGCAGACGGGTAATTGTGCTAAAAAAATTTTTCGTTTTTTGTAGAAGGAAGATGATTTTCTAAGCAGATTCCCACACTATGTGTTTCTCCTAAGACTGAAATAATCTTTCACCGTTTCATCTTCTGTTGAAAATGAATTGTGCCAAATACACTGAAAAGTCCCTGAGAAGCTTGACGTATCTAGTGAAAATAAAATATCCATCTTGTCACTTGAACTGTACTTAGTCTAAGTAATGACCATTCCTAATATATGGTATCATAAATCTAGATCCTTAGAGCAGTATGCTCGGGACTCAAGTCATCTGGTAGATTTATGTCTTGAAAGCATCGTGCCGAGATAAAGGAATGCTTTGATCGCGGGTCGCCAATCAGAATTCTCACCTGTAAATAATATGTCGAGTGCCCGCCAATATTTGTGTGCACCTCAGTATGAAGTACTTGCTCTAACATTGTAAATTTGTTCCACCCACTAGTTTGATCGTAGTCTTACCTCAGAATTTTATGAGCGGCTGAAAATTTTATCCTTTCTTAGGATAGTTCGACATTCTTGAGTGATAGTGCACTACGGATCAGCTCAGCTGGTCATTCTTTGTAGATATTAGACAGCAACATTTTATAATAAACAAAAATATGAGACGGATGTCACACGTTACTTATTAAATTATTATTTGAGAATAATTGGAATAACTGGCAATTTCTGACTGAAAATCTTGGAAACACTCACTTCCTGTTCATAGGGAATAACATTTTTTCATCCACCTTGTGACGGAAAACCAGATCATTTTGTCCTCTTCTTTAACCGGAATCACCATGAAAATATAAGACGGCAAAATCAAGATGGTCGTTGAAATGTAATCCGTGGTCCCAATTCTAGGGAGATGTTGACTAAATCTCATGCATTTTTGTGTCTGGTTTGCATTTATTATTTCATAGAATACCGAAGTGGCACTTCAACGATATCAGTGGAAGAATCACGTTTACTGCAATCGCTTGACCGTCTTAACACCCGACTGAACGGTACGTCTTTCAACTTGATTGAACCACGTAGGTTAGCACTTTCCAAAGGAACTTGGATATTTATGGTTCATTAACAATAATGTAGAATGCTCTTAAAGTTGTCTGTTTTACACCAAACCGATAGGCCATCTGGTTGGATGTTTACGTATCATTCATTAAAATATACATAATCCTCTCACCCCCGGTTTGCACGCAAAGGTGAGTTGTACGTTGGGAAAGGACTAGCACTGATTTACGACATTTTATATCCCTTGACTTATCTGATCAAACGCTTGCTCCGACACTGCCAACTTTATTCTACCTTAGGTTGCGTCTCTGTGAGTAATATATGCTTCATAGACGTCCTCTCTGTGGCTACCCACCACAAACCTGAAGCTGCAGCACTCAGGGCAAGGCGAAGTGATTTTTCCTCGTGGCTCATATGAACGATTCGACCCAATTGAGTGTGTAGCTGCACAATTTTTGGAGAATGTTCACATAAATCACGGCTGCTGTTGGTAGACGATAGAACGGCTGCTGATCTGTTCGCCAAACCTAGAAAGTGATTTGCAAAGGTTTCGTCACCATCCATTGAGACTTCACTTTGATTTGGTCACGTTCGTAAGACTTTGTAGCTTGATACAGTCGCGGGATAAGTGCAAAAAGCTGTTGGGAATTATGTCATGTTATTTTTTGCCGGTTGACGCATAGTTTGTGCTGAAACTAGTGTACGATAGCGTAATATACAATATACGACGTATCGGGTGTCAAAGTTTGGCTTATTGATAAACCTAATTTAAACGTGCACGCTTGTGAGGGAATTGGCCAGTCAATTTGCTGAGGTTTGTGTGACTCCAATGCTCGGATAATGCCTCCCTTTTTCTGAACTAGGTTGACTGACTAAAATCTGGTTGCATTAGTTTTTGGCAAAAATTGGCTTACCAGGTTTTTCGGCTGAATCTGACGCCCTATATCTGACAGGCTGCTTATCATGACTATCTTATCAAGTCAAGTAACCCTTTTTTGTCCTGCAACGAGAGGTATCATCGTGCAACCATTAGACTAGTACCGACTTTGATGCACCAAAAGTTTCGAATAACACCTACTGCAGAACTTTTCCATCCATCAGCCGATATTTCCATAATTTTCGCCTCTACTGTTTTTCCCTGTAAAGTTTTGTATGTAACGAAGTCTGTAATAAAAATAACTTCCAATGGATTCTTCTTACTGAATCTGCAGATTTATGGTCGACAAAAGGATGACTTTCATCCGGCTGCAATCCAGCCACCAGCCGAGTGATGTGATTCCATACTCTCTCGAGAGTGCCACTTATCTCTATGTGTGATTCATACCGCATGATGTAAATCAACGTTTACTATGCGCGTTTGCAGGCGTTTCACTATTGTCCAGTTGATACTGGTAACAAGTTTTATTTTGTTTTCTACTGGCATATCGATTGACCCCTTATTTTCGATCGTTCGCATTCTGTTTACAATTAATCCGAATAAAAGTTTCGGAGGCTCATTTGACTTTTGCGGGCCGTGAACCCCGTTAAATGTGCGGATCATCAGTTAGGTCTTTCTTCGGATGACGGGAAAGTGGTAGTTCTAGGGATGCAACACTTTAGAAAGTTGTTGTTTGTAAAAAAAGACATACAAATAAGTGAGGCCAAAGGAAACGTGAGCCAGTGCAGTATACCATAATGCAAATGTAATATAGCCTGAAACATTCAGTGCATTTTCTGTAATACTTTTTAACTCGATGGCACCCTGATCTATCCCAGTTTGTATTCTGATAGACCAAGTATGCATGCGCTTTGTATGCATAACTTTGAATTTACATCTGCTTACGTCAGGGAATTGGACCATTTTGAATGGCACACGTAGCAGCGATATTCATACACAAGTGCCTCAGACAGATTGTAGTAAATGACAGCAGCAGACAAACGGTAGATGAGTTTACCGTTAACAAGAGCACCCTGTCAGGCGAGGGTCTTAGAATTTATCAACAGATGCGTTCGTGTAATTCATGGAAGAACTGAGAGGCAATTAAGCCCGTCTATCTTCATTAGGTAGGGGGAACATGATGATATCAGCGCACTGGAAATTCGGCCACCCACCTTTGACTGGGTCCCATTATACTGAAACACTTAGCACTAATGTAGGTCTTGTAAAACCGTGCTACAAATAAACAAGTTAGAAGTCACCACTGGATTCACACCTGTATATACTAAAGAGCCCTGTAGGAAATGAGTGAGTTTGAATAATGGAACAAGTGAGTTAGCAGTTAAAGTACGGTGCTAACACATGCTAAAGAACTACAACCCATATACAGACAGTGGCTTACAGGTACTGAAACTGTTGCCTTCAGCCCACAGCATTCCTTCCTTACTTCCTCAATGTAAAGTCCGCTATCGCTGTTAGATTCAAGCGTCACAGATGTCAAAACTTCCTCCAAGGTGTTACCATAACTCGTTTAATTTAAACCATTAACGAAAAGTCCTGTTGCAGTTATAACCACGGTACAACATGTATGTGGTTTACAGCTAAACATGATGTGATGTTATGAGGTTCACTACTCTAGTAAAGCCACACATGAACACCTTCTTGAGTAGGAATGCAACATTTTCTATCTCGAAGTTGCAGGCATGGCAGGTCAAATCAGCATTTTGATAAACGAAGCTGACCGCTTGTTGATTATTAACAGCTGTGTTAATGAACATACACTATTCCCCCAAAGATAAACCACACACCCCAGCCAAGGTCACTTAACCTTTGCACTGAGGTCTATTCCCATCTGAAGGCCGATTTTCAGACTCTAATTAACATCCGCCGTCAGCGTTTCCGTGGTGCGAACTACAACCACAACAAAGACTTGTTTGAGAAATTTTTCCACTTCTCCTTTACGTCCTGATAATGATAGGGGATTTTACCACTAGTGTGAATGCAAGTGAGAATCACAGTATACGGTTTTCATCTGTATGGCACGAAACCGCTGGAATTTCTCCTCTCATTTTCCACAAGCGACTTCTAGTTGCCTGTTTATTGCGAGTCATTTAACTGCTTATGGTTCAGCTGGAGAAATATTAAGTAGAATAGGAGGTACCATTAGAACGGTGACTGGAGTTAGTAGTTGACAACTGATACATCCTCTTGGGTGTAGTCGACAGAAGCAAAGACTGACACTGTTTCTCCACAGCATATATTATGTGCCACGATGGGGCGACGAGGCGTTGTTGAATGAACATGAGCTCCGAGATTCAAACTGTTTCCTTCAGCATAGCCACTGACAGGCAAATAGTGTGGAAAATCTCTTTTTGAGGGATTCTTCTTGGATCCATCCCGAACCCATGTCGCAGAAAACTGGGAAATCCGGCAGGAAAATCAATCCACTCGAACCGACGGCTCGATCATCCCCCTGACGTCATATGAATCTGTGTGGAGTGACGGAAAATGAGAGCTTTCAAGTTAAGAATGTAGCTTTGATGCAAGAGCGGAATAGAAAGCAGTTACCAGCGCGTATAAGTTCTCCACGCATGTCTTGATTACACATCGTGAGCATACCGTCTCCGAATCCTCTTAATGCAAGACAAGTCCGGCCGAAGAAGGCTTCACAAGGCAAACGGTTCTCTGACAGCCGAAAGCGCAATAGCCAATTAAGCACAACACATGGAGTGTGTTTGATGGAACGTTTCGCAAGACGAAGACACCATCGGTGCTACCATCACCTGAATCTCGGGAATTTTACTCTGCTGGTGATGTGAATGGAGATCTCAGGGAGCATCTAGGAAGTGACAGCCACAATGTCGATGCCGTGGTGTTTTTAATGCAGTATAATTGTGCCCTTTTGCGTATAGCGGTAACCGTTTAGAAACTCCACTCTGAAGGTGTTTTGAGCCCCGTCGAATTCTGACCGGTGCAAGCGTTACACTATGGTTCATTTCGTTCTTCTGTGCGTGGGGTTGCCGAGGGCAAGTCGCGATGACGTTGTGAATAAGGCGAGGTCTCTATTTTCGGCGATCGTTTGGCTAAGGCTGCGCTCTCCGGTCATGCTGATCGGCTCAACTGCAAAAAGTGTGAGTAGCCTTAATTGCAAAAGTCTTATTTATATGTCACCCAGCGATCTGCGCCAAAGCCGAAACCCTTCGTTTGTTGCTTGCTCAACCTGCTAACTTAATCACAGTCGTTTGCTGCTGATGTTTCAATTATAGCTGCGAATCATTACGAGATCCCCTGTTAAGCGCAATGTGGAAAAGACCACAAGTGGTCGTTTTCAAAGGCTGTGGCCCTTTTTCACCTTTGTTAATCATCACGGTTACTAGAATTGTACTAGTCGAATTCTGTGTCAGTATTATCGGAGACAGCAACGCCGATATTGACAGTGATGCTTCACTGTCGTGCAACCACAAATTTAATCTATCTTTTAGGTCTCGGAGCGAAAAGAAGACAAGAAGAGTGGGTCGGCGAGGGGACCCATCGTGGGACTGAAATGTCTACACCTCCAAGTGCTCGATCAGAAAATATGAGAAGAACGCGATAGAACAGACCCCAGTGATATCGACCAGTCGCCATTTCGTTCAGCGTCTACAGCTAAGCTCAGTTGGGTCATGAGAACCCCATCATGGGGACCAAAAACACCCGAACTCTTTGTAAACTTGCCCACAACAATCTGTTGGTTCATACGTTTTCCAAATCGCGGTTTGCGAAACACAGACAACAAAATCTATCTCGGTAGATGGTATCTTTGCGTGCACAAAGCATGATCGAGCTACTGCAGTCAAAAGCACTCGATGATTTCTGCGACTGAGATACCTGCGACAAGGTTAAATCTCTGTTCTCAGCTCACCTCGTAACCAAGCGTTCAGTTTTATCCAAAAATCAGCATATCTTATGAAGCATCGGTGGTGAATAAAGCCTGAGGACTTCTGTCATCATCCGTTTGTAAAGGCCACATCTCGCAGACATACAAAACTATATCTCGTGCGGCCTTCTGGTACACGCAAAACTTGATGCTACATGCGACGCAAACGTGATCCTGGACTTTGAAATTCTTGCCACCTCTGGCTGGGCCAATAAAAATACCTCTGGACTTTGAAATTCTTGCCTTGTCTTCATCAGCCACCTCTGGCTGGGCCAATAAAAATACCTGTGTGTGCAAATTTTCCATAACCTCCAGTGATTTCTCTTAAGAATTGCAAGAAGTGTACTCAGAGACTGTACAATCTGAAGCATTAAATTTCCAATCAAATTTACAAGGCTTATGCCGACTGGTGCTATATATTGTAAGCTCTGATAATCAGACCCTGTGCTTTGAAGCAACGCCGTCTGCATACTGCAGGTCAACATGCTTCACAAAGCAATGACAAATAGTCGCATATGGAAAATATCCCGCTGTTCACTTCAGTATTTCATCGGTGACGAAGGTACATAAAATGCGTATAGGGTGAACGTGTCTGTCGGAAATCTTTCTGCCTAGATAGGGTACACAAACCGTAATCATGGTTTCAAAGATTTACGAACTGACACAGGACCGGGTCCTACGACAAGTTCGGTTACCAACTTGTGTGTCGGCGACCGTCGTTAATCATCGTCATCAACAACAACGACAGCATGATATTGGTGTCCAGCATCCATGCTTCCCTGCAATACAACCATGATTTCTTTAAAAGCTTTATTGTGGAGAATAGAATACAGGTTGACGAGGAAGCAGTCTGATGTTGGCGTCCTACAGTCATTCCGAAGTGCACCCAGCTCCAGACACCCTTTTCGCCTCATGACTGCATAGCAGCTAAGCACCAATGAGCCCGAGATAGCTCAGTGGTTGAGTCGCTAACTTGCTGGCCGGAGCGTCCATGATTCGAAACTACCACATCTCGATTGCTGCTGTCTAGACAAGGGCTGGCCGTGAAATCTGTCGTTACCAGAAGTTCACCGCGCCGCTCATCCGTAAACTGGCCTCCCAACGCATGGTGAGGGAAATCGCTCAATAACTCAAGACCATCCTCAGAGTTCGACTGTCTCTGCTATACAGGAAGTCAGCGAGGCATACTTCGTTGTTCTGTTCGAGGACACTAATCTGTGTGCTATTCACGCCACGCAGGTCACCGTCATGTTCAAGGACATCCAGCCTGCACGTCGCATCCGTGGTGAACGGACTTAAATCGGCATCAAAAAGCTGCCCTGTGAACACCATAACGGCCCCATTTAGGGCCATCTTCAATTGTATTAACGACATTTTCCTCCGTCTGAGCCTCCCATGCTAGCGTTCTTGGCAAAGCTCTTGGCACAAGATATGTTAACGCCCAAAACCAAGCTAAGAGTAATTGCACAACGCTTCGTATACATATGTATATATTTATTCATTTATACACAAGTATACATATATATGGCGTAAGCGGCAACAATTTTCTGCAAATTCTGACGCGTTCTGGATGCGCCCTTGGCAACAGGCATCAAGCCAATACTTGGTCATGATTGGGTATTGAGTCCAGACTTTCGAACAAACAGATCTCA